ACAGAACTCTTTGCAATAGATAAAGCATTCAAGCTTGCTGTCTTATTAGCTCAGAGAAACAGCTCTTATAAAAATGTTTGAATTATTTCAGATAGTCAAGCTGCCATAAAAAGAACTTGTAATCAAAATTTAAATGATGAATTATACTATCTTAATTCAATTAGAAACTATATTTCTCAATTGAATAAGATGAGTATAACCAGTCATTTGCACTGAATGCCAGCTCATGCTAATGTTCATGACAATGAACAAGCTGATAGAGCTGCAAAAAAAGACACTGCACTAGCACAAGTCTTTTCTGAAGAATATATATCTCTAATCTTCATTAAAAAATAAATAAGAGAACAGGCAATGCTTGGGTGATTTGAGAACTTATTCAATAGAGAAAGTCAAGAAAATTACTACTCTTAATTTGAAATTAAGTCAAAACAGAAAGTCTCAATTCTGAAAATTTCTAAATAAATTTGATCCATAATTATTTAATTAAAAATTGAATATGATTATTTTGCTTCTTACTTAATAAAATTATCAAATTATCTGTCTGAGAACTGCAGACATTGTGACTGTAAAGAAAATTCAAAGCATCTATTGCTTGACTGCTCTGTTTGAAAGAAAGAGAGATAAAAAATTCAAAAGAAATTAAATATTTCACAACTTTCTTTAAAATTTCTTTTTAAAACTTCTTTGAGTCTGAAGTGGTTAGTATTGTTTCTTAAAGAAACAAAACTAGCTACAAAACAGTGGTTATTGAAATAAAAAATAAAATAAAAACTAAAACTGTTGCAATCATTTTTCTGTGGTGGAAAGAATTCTTATTTGTCTTGTCACTTTTCAATTTAGTTTTAATTGATTAAAGCTGTATCACCAGTTTCTTTTGTATCTAGTTAAATCCTACAGCTAGCAAAGCTGTCAGGTAGTCTTCATAGTCTCTGACTGCATAAGACTATAATCAATAATAATAATAATAATAATAATAATAATAATAATAATAATAATAATAATAATAATAATAATAATAATAATAATAATAATAATAATAATAATAATAATAATAATAATAATAATAATAATAATAATAATAATAATAATAATAATAATAATAATAATAATAATAATTTTCTTTAAAATTTCTTTTTGAAACTTCTTTAAATCTGAAGTGATTAGTGTTATTTCTTAAAGAAACAAAGCTAGCTACAAGGCAGTGATTATTGAGATAAAAATAAAAAATAAAAAACTACAACTGTTGCAATCACTTTTCTATAGTGGAAAAAACTCTTATTTGTCTTATCATTTTTTCAATTTACTTTTAATTTATTAAAGCTGTATCACCAGTTTTCTTTACATCTAGTTAAATTCTACAGCTAGAAGAGCTGTCAGGTAGTCTTTATAGTCTCTGACTGCATAAGACTATAATGAATAATAATAATAATAATAATAATAATAAGACTTTGCATTATTAAAAAGAGTTTCATTTTTCAAGTAATGAGAGAATTATATAGTACTTATATTACATCAGTAGCTGATTATAAAGTCTTTATTTGATGGAATAATTAAAAATTCTTATTTGAAAAATTTAAAAAGCTTCAAAACTCAGTATTCAGAAAGATCTTAAAAGCTTTCAGAACTTCTTTAATTTATGCAATAAAAATTCAAGCAGCAATTTCTCCATCAAAAGTAAAATTCAATAAACTGTACAGAAATTATGCATTGAAATTATTAAAATTATCAAAGTTTTATATTATAAAATAAAGACTTTCTCAAGCTATTCTTTATATAATTGTGAAATTGAGCTAGATTGGAGAAAGTATCTGAATAGTTAATAGAAATTTATATTATACTGTACTTTTCATATCAGACATCTAATATCTTTACACTACAGTCTATCAGTACTGAATTTATTATTTAACTAAGAATTTCTCTTTCAATAAATTATAGTTTTGAAATCTATAAATGAAATTGAGTTCTATTATATACTCACTACATATAATTCCAAAATTGAGTTAAACATATATTATATTGATGTTATAATACAATACTTTAATCATTAATGTATTTAATAAATTGACCAATTTACACAATGTATTGTAAGTTTATAGTTAGATTAAATGTCATTATATCAGATTATTATATTTTAATAATATATTTCTGCAATTTAAAAGAAGTATTTTTATATTTCAATTTGTTGTGGATTCTTGAATTCATAATATGTGGTAGAGATTGTTGAGTGGTGGAAATCATTTAGTGGTGGAACTCATTAACTAGTTCTTCACATTAATTTAATGTTGTTCAACTACATACACTTCCAGACAGCCTAACATATTTCACCACCCAATGAACATCCCTACCCAACAAACACCAAAATCAAATTCTACCCTCAACCAACTTCCCCAATATCTCAACAACAAAGGAAGATATTCAAATAAAATATTAGTAGCTAGTAGATCCAATTGAATATTACATATAAATCTCTATAGATTATCCAAAATCCTTTGCAATGGCTTAATAATGCAGCTGGAGTGGGATTGGATTGATATTGACTCTTCTGGAATAAGAGCAACAGCATTTGTTGAATTCAAAGCTGGAAGGGTTGAATCTGCTTGAGGAGGATTCTTCAGGTTCAGTTCCATGAAGGTTAGATTTATAAGAGAGTCTCTGAGGAATTCTGACTGTGCTGAATTCTTTCTCATAAAGTCATTCTTTCTGATTTGGCAACTCTTCTTCTGTTGTTTGATCTCCTTTCTCTTATAAGCTCTTTCAAGCTTCTCTTCTTCTTCTTTGATCTTCTTAAGCTCTTTCTGTAGCTTTTGAGCATCTCTTTGGACAGCTTTTTCAGCTTTTTCAACTGCTTTAAGCTGTTGAGCTTTCTTACAGACTCTCTCTCAGAATTCCTTCCTCTCAGCAGCTTCTGCAGCCTTTACATCTCTTGCTATAGCTTTTTGAAGTCTCTGTTCTTTCTTTTAAGTCTTCTCTTGTTCCTTTTGCTTCTCTAATTCTTCATTTCTCTCCCTAATTTGAGCTACTTTTGTAGGAGAAAAGAATTGAGCAGACCCTGGCTTCTCAGAATTAAAAAGACCCATTGCCTTGCCATGCTGATGTCATCTCTTTTCAACCCCCAAAGATTCAATCAAAGCATTATTCTCATGCTTCAGGATCTCCTTCTCTATAACAAGATGCTTAACAGCATGCATAAGCTTCTCAATATGCTGATTAACATGAGCCTGCTCTTTATGTATAGATTTAATCATTCTTCAAACCTCCTGGGCAGTTGTAGAGGTTATAGATCATTCAGTGGATTGGGGGGTAATTGGCTGTTGTTTGTTCAAATTTGGCTGATTTTCAAAGATCTTGAGAACCCTGTTGAAGTTCAAAGAGTTGATGCCAGTGGCTTCAAAAGCAGATTTGATGTTCTTTTTTGTTACAGATTCAACTCAAGCAGTATGGAATATCTTCCAAAAATCACATTTT